CCCCAAAACCCCAAAACCCCAAAACCCCATACTTCACCAAGTAATAGAAAAGATACATTTAAATATGGCTTAAGAATTAATTTTGAAGATTTCTGAAATCTCTTTTGATAAAATTTTTGATGCTGGTGCCCATATGGCCACCAATGCACATATTAGAGATGCTAATCATGCCCAAAGCAAGTGCTTATATGGGAAATAGAATGCAATAGGGATAGAGAGAAAGTTCGCTTGTTGCACAGTCATGGTCCAACCAACAAAGGTGCCCACGATGATGCCCAATCACGAACTCGCGAAGACCAGCACAAATGTTTCATAGAAATAGAGGCGCTTGACCATGAATTTGGTGAAGCCGATTGCTCTCAAGACTCCGACTTCTTTGCTTTGCTCCATCATGTTGGCTGAAGTTGAGGAAACCAGCGAGAACAGACACAGGAACATGCTCAGACAAATCAGCACGCTGAAGATTGTATCCAGGATTGCTTTGACTTCTTTGAGCACCTCTTCGGCATCATAGACGGAGTTTACTTCGGTGAACTGTTTCATGTAGGTAATCACTTCGGCTGCGTACTTCGAGTCAGTTAGAGTGAGGTAAGCATACTTAACTGGAATCATTCTTCTTGGACGAGACAGCTTTGTGTAAAGGAACTCTTTCGTAGTGAAAGAAACAACCATTTCTGGCTTGTCTGAGTGCTTCCTGCTACCAATTCCCAGCCCAGGAGCTGAGTCAAGAATGAAAGTAGGTTTCAGAGTGAAGAATGATGAAGTCTCTCGGCCACTGTCTGAGTCTGGGATTGTCACGAGGAAGGAACTCTCAAACTTTTGAGGGAACAAATGGAGTTTTTCAGACAAATAGGATCCAAGGCCTGAACCATGTGATCCATCTTTTGTGTAGAGCTGTTCTCCGAATGTAAGAGCAGATTCACTTGCATAGTTTATCTTGATTTGATCCTGGTTGAGAGTTTCAAATAAAGAAGGCGAGACTGAGCTTATTTGGACAGGTTGAGAGGAATAACGCGAGTGTGGACTTGCAAATGAGTCAGAATAATAGTAATTTTCAAGAACATGACCTTTGTAACCAAAGTTCGCAATCTTCTCGGGGTTTTTCTTTATATATTCTTCAACTCTCTCATAAAGAAGAAAGTGATCCTTCCCTCCCAGCCTTATTTCACCCCAGTCTTTGGTCTTGACCAAAGTGATGTTTTGAACTTGCAAACTGTACGACACAACACATAGAATCAGGAAGCTCAGTGACAGAGCGTACACCAATGTTGTCGAAGCGTTCCTGATTCGATGCGCAATCAAGTTTTTGAGAATCAGAGTTCTGATGCAAGTTCTTTCCAACCAAAACAGACTGAGAGTGATGGCTACTTCAATGATGTGTTGGAAGTTCATTGCCACCAAAACCACACCCACTAGAAAGCCACCTAGGATTAGGAAGAATACTGCAAGAATTATCCCAAAGTTTAGAGACATTAGAGACTGTGGCAGTAAAACAAAAATGATGAATCCATATATTGCTGAGATTGCTCCAATGATAAGAACAATTCTGATGTTCTTGGATGATGGATTTATTACTTCAATCACCTCTGCTTTGGTCTGAGATCTCTCAAAGTCAAGCGCATCATTGAGGTTCTGGGATAAGGCATTTTTGATGGGGATTAACGAACTCACAAATGGAATCACTAGTCCGAGCATGATGGCATTTCAGACTGCAAAGTAAGTAGGATTCGGGTCCATCTTCAGACCTAGTTGCTGTTCAAAGAAGTAGTAGTAAATAACTCTCAGAATTAGGAATGATCATAAGAATGCAAAAATGATTCCAGGGACAACAAAGCACAGCGTCTGCACTGCAACATCTTTGACGAGGCCCCATTTGGATGAGCCCAGCATGCGTTTGATTCCGTGTTCGAAGCTCTTCTGCTGCACGTTGACAAGTAATAAGCCGTAGATGAGGATGATGCTGATCGCCAAAAAGACTGCCAAGATCATCGAGAAGAGCAACCCCATAAACAAGATCGCGACACTGAACTGCTCCATTTGCTTCAGCAGAGGAAGTTCTACACTGATGGGGTAGTATCCCAGCTTCTGAGTCAGAGAATTCATTTCAGCGAGAGATGACTGCAAGAGTTCGTTGTAGTCTGAGTTTTTGTAATAGTCAAGTCGAGGCTCAGGGAAAGTCATCAAAATTGTCGATGCATAATGGTACGGATTTTGCTGATCAGCACTCTGGATCAAGAGCCTGCTAGCAGCTTGATGCATTGCTGATTGCTCCTTGCGATTCAGACTTTTCCTAACGTGGTCGATCACGTAATCGAACATATATTCGTACTCTAGGATCAGAACTTTTTCAACTGATTGATCATCCATTTTTCCAAAAGATTCCGCAATTTCTGATTTTAGTAATCACTCAACTTCTATTGATCCAATATCATGAATTGATGGCAAAGGAAAATGAGATATTTTGGAAAGCTTAGTAGCTAATATATTGAGAATGTGCTCTCCATCAAAGGTGACCTTGGCCATGCTTCCAAGTTTGAGCTTGCTCTCCTTCAATAGACTTCTTGAAATAATTCACTCATTTTTGAAGAGTTTGGGAAAATGGTAGTTGACTCCAATTTCTAGAAAAATCATAAAAAGCTCGCTACATATTTTTAATGAAAAAGCATGGTTAGTGACTTTGGACTAGCTTGAGTACTTGGGACAAACAAAAGCATCCCTATAGCTATCTAAACATTCAGAGATTTTTTGAAAAGTTTCATCAACAACTGAAATAGACCAATGTTGCATTACGTATCTTAAATGTATGTAAAGATCGACACAAATTGGGAATTCTTACTAATTTCTCGTTCTCTGTCTGTATCCATGAACACTAATGAAATGTCGTTTAGAAACTTTTGCTCACGATGTCATAGCTTTCAATCCAAAGGAGTTTTGGACTGCTCGGCGGGATGGTCATCAGCCTTATGCATAAAAGCTTTCATGTAGTTCCGAGGAGTTAGATTCACCCGAGGAAGCTCTTCCTGAACTGCTGTGTAGTTCAGAGTGGTAAACAGTTTCTTCTTCCCAGAAGAAGAGTCCACAACTCTGGTAGGACTTGCTGGAAGGAGAAAAGCATCTATTTCTCCTGAGTTTTGTTCTGCAAGTCGGAGGAAGATTACTGGGGCCTTGTCGATGACTGAGTTAGCAATCAAACACACCAGCACAACAATGAAAATGGAGAGAGTGCTGATTAAGAACTGACATTTGTGACGATACATATTATGGATGTTATTTTCTAGATGAAAATGCACCTGCTGCATCAATCATTGGATATACGAAGAAGAATTTGTCCAAGGAATAACTTCTTTCAAAACAAGAGAGCCGGAAGCTCTCTTTTGATGCAAAAACAGCTCTCGGGAGGTCTGTGATCCTTCTTTGGTGAATTTTAGCATTTCTCTTTCAATTAATCTATTGAGTAAAGGGGTTTTGGGGTTTTGGGGTTTTGGGGTTTTGGGG